ATAGCCCTCGTGTAGCTTTGCGCGAAATTCAAAAAACAAACAAACAAACCAATGAAGTTGGATTTAATTTGTTTCAACTGTGCCATTTAAATTTCACTATACCTTTTAGCGTTTAATCAGCGAGATATAGTACAGATGTCGCCCCATTTCTTTACTGTTTGTGTTGGTTTCATAGCAACGAGCAGCACCAGTTCTTCGGATGGAGCAAAACCGTTACGGATCTACCGCATGTCCTTCACTTCTCTGACTGGTGGCTCCCCCTGTGAGAGGCGGGTACCAACCCCTTCTCTCCCGTCCCCACAGCCTCTACTCAACCCCACGACGTTCAGTAGCAAGTTCCTCTCCCCAGACGTTCACGTAAGTTACTAAAGTTAATCCAGACAACCTGTTTTTAGTAAGTTCATTACAAATTTATATCTATAACCACTTATATTTTGTCAGGTGTGATTCTGCAAATTTATTTCGAAGTACGAGTTGAAAAAAATGCTTATTTTTTTGGCTAAGATCCTTGTTGAATACTCCAAACAAATAGCTCCGAAAACGCCTTAGTAGTATTAGTGTTTCTAAGTTCTAGAAATAGATCTTGGAACATAACAAAATTGTAAGGTATTGTAATCACACAGTATTCGTTTTTATATAAAAACCGAATCATCTTACACTGTGATAAATGTGTAATGAATCGTTGTTGGATACATAGTTGCAGGAATTGTGCTGTAATTAACCTTACGTTTGTCAGTATTTATACCTGTAACAACAGGTATGAACGTCAAAATGTGTCAATATTTTCCTTGAAATAAAATATATTTATCACGGGAAGCTCACGTAAATTATAGTCTTGGTTTCTTAGCTGCACCGATGAGGTCTTACGAATACACACACGATTTTAGCAGCTATATTTATCGGAGCTTTAATTAGATATTCTTTGAAGTATTTTACGCTTTAAACTGCTTGCTATAAAACGTGTTTTCTGCGGAGTTCAATTATCTGTCAAAGTGATCCAGATTAAGTACTTGTGGATTGGATGTGAGTTAGTTTTATATCACAGCACGAGTGAAAGAAAGCGAAAAATTAATTGTTGAATACATTTCCATGGACATCAATAATAAGACAGTTAAACAAAAATAACAAACACTTTTTATAATTCAAAAAAAAACAATTAGCTTACTAAGCGTTACAGGAAATGCTTTGGCATTGTTTTATGGATGGAGGGACGCGTTTATGGATGGATGGACGCGTTTTATCAGTTATCAGACTGTATATACTGTACTTTGAACATAATATAAGTTATTGTGTTGTTTCAGGACAATCGTCTAAGACCAGATCCTCGGCCAAGCAGAAGTGCAACGTCCTCCCCAGTGCCTCAGTTACCTGTTGTTTTTCACCACCAGATGTCAGCCAAACTAGAGATAAACAAAGAGCACACGCTTGCTGCTACTACGGACTCTGGGCTAGTAAGAATTACTAGTTCTAAAGATCCCTGCAGTTCTTACAGTTTAGATTATGGAGCAGGAAAAAGCGCCAGGTCTTCACCTAAACATGATTATTGCAGCTCGAACTCTGTTCCGGGAAAAAGTGGAGGTTCAATCCCTTTGTTTAGCTCACAACCTGGATCTACTCCACCGTACAGCCCCTGCGTACTTTTGGAAACAAGCGACGATTCTTGATTCGTCGAACACTCGAGGAAAAGGAAACTGAAACCAAACGTCACTATTGATTTTTACACTAGTCATTTCTAGTAAGCATTGATACATACACAACACAGTTGCTTTAACTTGCAATCATCCTCTTAATCGCATTACAAATTCTCCTGTTTTTCACAAGTTATGAAAAATAAAACATATCATTCTTATGAGATATTTAGTATTAAGAAAAATATATTGCATCATGGGTGTTTGTGCGACTATTTATAACTTTATTATGTGTACAGTAACTAAGTCTAGTAGAACAAAATCGTTGAAGATATTCTACCATCCTGGCAGATGTTTCTACTTCAACACATATTGACGGGTGTTACTATTTCAACACATATTGACAGGTGTTACTATTTCAACACATATTGACTGATGTTAATACTTCAACACATATTGACAGATGTTTCTACTTAAACACATATTGACAGGTGTTACTATTTCAACGCATATTAACAGATGTTAATACTTCAACACATATTAACAGATGTTACTATTTCAACACATATTGACAGGTGTTACTATTTCAACACATATTGACTGATGTTAATACTTCAACGCATATTAACAGATGTTTATACTTCAACACATATTGACAGATGTTAATACTTCAACACATATTGACAGATGTTTATATTTCAACACATATTGAGAGATGTTAATACTTCAACGCATATTAACAGATGTTAATACTTCAACACATATTGACAGATGTTTCTACTTCAACACATATTGACAGATGTTAATACTTCAACACATATTGACAGATGTTTGTATTTCAACACATATTGAGAGATGTTAATACTTCAACGCATATTAACAGATGTTAATACTTCAACACATATTGACAGATGTTTCTACTTCAACACATATTGACAGGTGTTACTATTTCAACACATATTAACAGATGTTAATACTTCAACACATATTGACAGAGGTTTGTATTTCAACACATATTGAGAGATGTTAATACTTCAACACATATTAACAGATGTTAATACTTCAACACATATCAACAGATGTTAATACTTCAACACATATTAACAGATGTTAATACTTTAACACATATTAACATATGTTAATACTTCAACACATATTGACAGATGTTGTTACTTATATTCTCTATGCTGACCTTAGAAGATTTAAAAGTCTATATTCATTTCTGAATCCATGTTTAATCGAAATCTCTAAGATTTTGACATGAAGTTTTGATAAATCTAACAGCAAAGAAATTGTTCTAAAAACTCAAATTCCAGTATTTGTATTTTGTTAAACTTTGTAATGGTATGAGCCTGTTATTTAACTACGTACACTAATAGACAATGCAATTTTGTTCAAGTAAGTAACAGCTCTGAACTATAAGCAGTACGTTATCTGTCTGTGAGCACGAGATCAAATGGTAATCAATTGAAAGATTGAAATATAACATTGGAATAATGTGTTATAGTCCAAAATACTTGTCAAAACATGGCCATTAACTCAAACTGGTCATCTTCTCGAAAATGTCACGACTTCTGTTTTTCACTTTTACGAATAAAATGAAAAAGAAATATATATAACATCTAAATCGTAAGCATTGACCATCATGAGCACGTGATCCTGGCACGTCCATTGCATTAGTTACTTTATTTGTGTTTTGTGTATTTTCCATTCATATTTATTTCCGGTTTTTAACCTCAAATGTAAGTGAAAGTAACACGTGAACTACGAAATATCAAAAACCTTTTTTTTTTAAGCACATTGTAATTAGATTTAAGAATTTTTGACCACCCAACAAGTGCACCTTATTTTTAATAAATGTTGATCATGTGCAAGTTATTCATGTGAAAACTCTTTAACTATTTCATCCACAGCATGAAACATTTATAAAATTGAAAAAAAAAAGAGTAGCCTTTAACTTTCGATACATTTTTTTACACTAAGTTGCCAAAATATAAACAACCAAGAGCGCATGCTCAATGTGGAAGAACTAAATTACTGAAATAGAATACATATCAGATTTTAGATTGTGTATTATTATTGAAAAACATTGGTGGGTTATTTGTGTTCAAGACAATAACTATAATGTAATTTAAAACCAATGAAATAACTCAGAATTTGAAATTTTATGCACGCTTACAACCAATCATGAATCAGAATGAATATTAACATTTGATTGAACGGTTTATAAGTATGTTTGACCAATAAAATAATAGTATATATATATATATATATATA